TGTAGATGAAATTACACAAGCTGTGAAAAGCTTGAAAAATGGAAAGACTACTGTAATTGATGAAATCCGCGCTGAAGTGCACGAAGCATTAGGCAAACAAGGCTAGTGCTGGCTTGTACGGGTCTGTCAAACAGCAATGAACTGTAATGACAACGGGATGACGCTAGCGGATTGGTAAACAGAGGTTTTAGGCTTCCTGTTCAAGAAGGGAAATCAGAGATAGTTCTTCAATGATTGGAGCATTACCTTACTGAGCTTGGTAATGTCAATGCAGTAGTACTTGAAGGAAAATTCGGTGTCGCAAAATTGATTTCGTATTTAGCCTTAACGTGACGATCCTACTGTCGGCAATAAAGTCATATACTATCTGCGTGTTTGGTGCCCTAATCCATGAATCGTCCAACTTGTTTATATAACAATGGTACCAGAATCAAAATCCTGAAGCATTATTTAAAGAACTGTCTCATTTTTCGTATTCAAAGATGTCATGAAGTTAATCAGCAGATAGTCTGAGTAACTGAACGTTTTGGTGATGTAGACTCCTGACTGTTAGGTAATCTGATAGATGGTGGCATAAGCGAGTTATTTCCCTCCTAAGGTCACCATCTTAAACAGGGATGCGAATAAATGGTGAACAAAATTGGCCTGATCAAAACTAAACTTTTTCAATCACTACACACTCTGAGCAAATTAGTTAAGTCCTCCAGAAGCAATTTGAAGAGTTATACTTTTATACAGATGTGAGGTTTGCTAGTAATAATATGCGACGGTGTAAACGGACACAAAATCAGTCTGGCGAACGAAATAATATGGAGAGGAAAAAGCGAAGCGAAATAATCCTTTCTGTTGAAAGAAAATGACGGGATAATGAGATATTTCATTCATTTGATTCAGTGTCATCCACTGCTCAGAGAGAGATTGGAAAATGTTTTGAATTTATATCTGTGTCTAGTACAATCATCCCTCTTAAATGGCATTTGAGGTTGTCATCTGAGCGACATCATCCCTTCTTCTTCGTTTCGGCTTGCCATTCAGTCTCGATCATTAGCTACGGCTTTGCAGAATTGTTGTCAATCAGTCGCTGTTCAAATATTCACGAATTCTTTCATGACGTGGCCAATTAATTGAACATTTTTCAACTGAACACTTTTTAACGGTTGGAATTGAATAGAATGCTGTTTTACAACGCATTCTCTGAATCTAAGGAACTACAATGAAACTGGTAAAAGTCATTTTTTGCAGTATTTTTATTTCATATTAATTATCAATTTGAACTCTTTTCAAAAACTGAATGCCCCCGGTTTGTGACGTCTTTTGCATTCCATGTTTCCAACAATTCCATGAGGCTGCAAAAACTTTGATTACCGCCCGTTCGAAACAATTTTTCTTCTCCGAAACGAGATCAGCTTCAATTTTGTTCATTCATGCTGCATGCAGGTTGTTGACATTTACCAGGTCCTAATTTTTGCCAAGGAAGCTTAAACCAGAGGCAAAGATTCCATCCTCATCAATTTATCAGTCATAGTCAGACATTTTTCGCCAAAGTTAATGTCTATTCAGTGTCCTCTGCTCAAAAGTAACTAGGATGTTTCTTTGCACGCTGCTGATATCTATCAATTCTTGTTTATCATCCTTGATTACTGAAAGGAGTAGATTAAATAAATATAAATTTCGAACTACAAAAGTGACCAAAACTATGACAGTCCAAGTATTTAACTAACTATCAAACCTCTAGAATCCAAGGTGATCATCTGACTTAACTCAAATTCAAAATTTAATTGTTAAAGCTGAACACAGAGCTAGTCTCCTATTCAACAGTTCGGCACATGGGCAGCAACCAAAACTCGTGACAGCTTTACTTATGTGCTACCAGCGCAGGAGATGATGTAAAAGAGGCAATAAGCTGAAAAATCGTACACTCTTTGATCTCCATGTTGCTTCTGTGAATCTGTTGCGAGGTCCCTCATAAATAATGACTGTCTGGCTTAGGGACGAGATGTGTTTTGCAGCTATATTGGCCACCAAACACCTCTCTCTCATTACTCAGGTTTCCTAGCACTTCCGTAATTTGCATCAACAGCACATTTGCAAGATATCTTGAACCGCGGTTTCCCTTAAATTTAACTTAGTTAGGAGATTTGACTTCTTTTTTATTCAGTTCTACATTTTTGAAAAACGGATGTTCGACAGTGATTAGAGATTCACTTATGTCACGGATGCAACCCTGACTTCAACACATTGTTGTTTTAAAC